CTATAACATGCTAACTCGGACTTTTACACTAGGATTGCGTGGCTGACATCGGATGGACAAAAAAAGAAAAGAAAAAAGACAATAAAAGATATAGTCACTAGTATTCTTAACACTTCACCCTCTATATACACACCCTTCTAATAAACCGCTTCCCTTGTACCAACCTTGACTTCCCTTCCTTCATGTGAGCTTACTCCAACTTGTTAAACATCACAACTCGTTGTTCTTTATTAGTACATTCTCTAATATGGAGCCTCTGACTTCACTTCACTCTAACAAGACATTATATGAATTTATGGTAGGACTCTAATTTATGGACGAGCCAATCAGAAGCGTTTAAGGAGTTTCGAGATGCTCACATTCGATCGTTTTACAGCAGATTTTAGAGAAGAGGTGATCGTTGAGAGACTACAGCAGATGGGACTGTTAAGAAGTTCCTGTGTCTGTGACTGCGGCAATCAAATGACCGCAGCACGATGTGCAGACTACCGCGATGACATTGTATTTCGTTGTACCATATGTTGGAGAAAAAAATCTGCTCGAACTGGCACTTTTTTTGCCCGGTCACGACTAAGGCTTAGACAAATCATGATAATCGTTGCAAATTGGATCATAAAGTCTCCAGTAACGTTAGCTGCGGCTTTTGCAGATGTTACGGAAACTTCTGCCGTTCAGTGGTATGAATATTGTCGTGATATATGCGCAATGAAAATGACACGAGTACATGAATCATTTGGAGGAGTTGGAAAGATAGTGGAAATAGATGAGGCGCTAGTTAGAAAGCGAAAATACAATAAAGGACGTTTTATCAAAGAAGATTGTGTAAGTAGCACTTCCGTGAATATACTTGACAGGTACTTGGGTTTTACGATCGTTCAACTCAAAAAGGACATTTTCAAAGAGTAAGAAACCGTCAGGTAACGACAATCATACCAATCACCAAGGAGTACGTTCAGCCTGGTACGACGATCTATACCGATGATTGGAAAGCGTATAGATGCCTCTCGAGACTTGGTTTTGTGCATCATGTTGTGGTGCACAAACGTCATTTCGTTGATCCAACGACGGGAGTCCATACAAACAACATTGAGGGCATGTGGTCTAGGCTGAAGTATTTTTTAAGACCCTACCACGGCTCCAGAGGACGGTTATTATGGAGTCATATGGATGAGTTCTTATACCGCATGCACTATGATTTCAAAACTTCTGAACCTTTATCAAGCCTCAACAAGTTCTTAAATCATATAAAAGAAGAATATCCATTGTAATTCATCACTTTTCTATAATATATTTTTACTTTATACTAACTCTCTTCTGATTGGCTAATGTTCTCAAGGTCACTTAAAAATACGTTCAAAGGTCGTCCATAAAATAGAGTTTCACCGAATTTATTCTAATTTATTATACCTCTGTCCGTTCTACTACAAAATGCTAAGCAACCTTTGGCGTTCATATCCAAGTGCCTTGCTGCTCTTCTGTTTCTCTTTTTCTTCTCCTTCAGAATCTTGCTCTGAGAGCACAGCTATGAAACTTCTGACGTTTGGAGCAAACTTGACGTACGCGTCCTCTCAAGGTCATAGTTTACAGCAAGCGCTCTACGATCTCACTTTATAACAACTATAAACTTAATAAGTTGGGAAGCATTTTGCGAACCAACAAATGTTGTAATTTATAGATCATGCCTGTAAAAACGGTATGTACCTGCACATGCAAAAATATATTATTATTATTATGTCTTATCTTTTGCTTCCGTCTAGAACCGATCATTTGAGAGGACATTCGAAGGAAGTTCAAAAACCGAGATCAAATCATCTACGTCTGGAATTTCGTTTCTCGCAACGAGTAGTCAATTACTGGAATTATCCACTGGAACACGTAATATCAGCACCTTCCGTTGATATATTCAAAACGAGATTGGACCTCCACAGTATTACAAACTGCAAGGATTAATATAGGTCGATAGACCTCTTATCCTTATAAATGAAGACTAAGAAGATGCCACAGTTATTTGGAGTTTGACAACGCTTTAATTAGTAACACCTAATATAACTCACACCCACTAAATGAAGTCAAAAGACAGGAGCAAGGAGGTTCGAAGATATAGTTAATACACTATCAATATATCGAGGACCGACTGAAACAGACTGGTTAGCGATTGCAGTTTTGTTGAGCACGGCGTTCCCGCCCGTGGTTTGTTGAGGATGCATGGCCGAACGCCTTCAGCTAGCTGAGTCCATTGAAACTAATTTGACCAGCATCCAATGTCGAAAACTAACAGAGCTATTCATTTTGGGGATTTATTTACCGCTACAGATCACTCCGTCCCTAGTGAAGTAGTGATGACCCTGAAACGTGGCCAGCCAGAAGTTTAAACCCAACGAGTTTCGTCGTTGGTGAACACTCTTCTGATAGCTTGCTAGGTTTAGAAGCGTCTGGTCGTCTTTCCTTACTATAAGGGACCATGGAATACAATATAGTAAGGAAACAATGTACAATGAAAATTTTGGTTCATCGTAGACGTCATCGTTCTTTGTATATTCTTTTCCAGCCGCCCTGTAAAAAGGAAAAAAGAATATGCAAGTGCATCTCGAAATAAACTCGTGCGCGCTTTAAGACACTAAATGGGCAAAAAAGGTTAATAACGTAAAAACGATTCTTAGAAATTGTTTTTTTTTTAATCTTTTTAATATACATATATATATACATATACATATACGTATACATATATATATACATATATATATATAATTATAAGCATATAAAAAATTTATATTATATATAATGTCATGGAAAATCGAGATGAAACGAAATGTTAACTAGTGTCTTACGTGCAATAGTCATTTAAATGTTCTGGAAATCTTACCCTTCTTCCAGGACGCGTTGTTTTAACTTTATTTTCAGATACTGTCGAAGTATCATCGTGCGTGTTGGTTGTCGGATGAGGTATTATAAGTGTCGGAGTCGTGTCGTTCGATTGTACCGAAGAAAAATCGAAGTGGATAGGATTTCCTTCTAAATACGCTGCTTCGAGGCGATCGATGCTGATGATATCGTTTGTTCCGTTCTTACCGACTATATAGTACTTAGATTCACGTTGAAGAACTTTGAAAGGTCCTTCGTATGCTGATTCGAATGGTCGTCGATGCGAGTCTCGACGTACAAAGACGTGTGTACTATATGGTAAGTCAGGTTGGACGAAAACATCAGTTGATTGAGGTCGAGTGGAAGCAGGTTTAACTGAACGCATTGCGTTTGTAAGCCTGTTAGTGTAGGAGGTTAGATCCATGTTCATTGAAGAGGATGAAGGATCCACGAATTCTCCTGCAAGTCGAAGTGTCGTTCCATAAACGAGCTGAGCCGCAGAGTATCCAATGTCAGCTTTGACTGCATTGCGAATACCTAGTAAGACGAGTGGAAGTGCGTCAGTCCACTGAGAAGTGTTTGCAGCCGATAGTGAAGCTTTTAGTTGTCGGCGAAAATGTTCTACCAACCCGTTTGCTTGTGGGTAGCTTGAGTGTTGTAGACGATAACTCGTGCTGAAGATTAGTGCCTTCTTTTTAAAGCTGGGCGACTTTAAGAAGGTAGATTCCGTGGAAACTGTTCAAGGAAGTTGTGCGAGACAAGGCGTCTGCAACTCCATCGTTTGCTCCAGAAATGTGTTGGATGTCTGAAGTAAACTGCGAAATGTAGTCCAGTTGTCGAAACTCACGAGGTGAGTACCTGTCTGATGATGAGCTTAAGGAGGAAGTAAGAGGTTTATAGTCAGTAAGAGTAGTTGATAAAGTGGGTCTATCGTATGCTTAATTGTGACTGGGGATAATCTGCAACCAGAAAAGGAAGTTACGCAAACGGATAAATTAGTGTTTCCATCTACTAGCCTCTGTTCGCGCGTATCAATGTTTAGATTATGGTGTTATTGAAGGTCCATACCAATGACTGGCATAGAAACATCTGCAACAACGAAGATCCAGTGAATGGTTTTGCGTAAACCCACGTTAACGTAGCGATAGGCTTTCCGTTTGCTGCCTGTGAGTTTAAAGCCGATTCGTGAAGCTGGTCGTTCGAATTCGCTGGCAGAACACTAACTTCTGCGCCAGTGTCGACGAGGTAGCGAACTCTCGTTGTCACGTCTGTGACGTATAACAGACGGCTATGTTCGCCGGCTACGGTTGCAGCTAACGCGTGCCGGCTTGAAAGTTTCCCGAGTTGTTTTTCGAGTCAGTCGGTTTTGTGTTGGGAAAATAGCAGGGTTTTCTGCAATTTCTGGAAGACTTTCCATACTGGTTATGATACCAGCACCAGTCGGGGTTATCCGTCTCTCGTGGTCTAGAGAAAGATCGCTTACGTGAAGTGCTTCTACGTGGGATGAATGATCACTTACGGTCGTTACGAAAATTAAGATAACGCGTAAGTGTATGACATAACTCTGTCATGTCAGGTTGTTTGAATAGGCCATCACCTAAAGTTCTTTGGCCGATAACCTCTCTCATTCATTAAAACATGTCCGTCGCTGGACTGTGTTGCAGGTCGATGTTGTTGTGGAGTTGGTTTAACCTTTGTCTATCGGTAAGGTCTCCGCGTCTAAGGATAGAACGTTTAAGCATTTCTTCAGGTTCAGAAACATCACTAGTAAACATACTAGGTGTTACGTACCTGTTGAACTCGCGCGGTAGTGCCCTGACTACTGCGAGGAATTGTGCATGTGCGTAGATCACGCTGCGCTCGGAAAAGTCGGCTTCTGTGTAGCAGAATCAGGCTTCGATGTTATCTGGCCAAAAGGGCATCAGTTGAAACGAAGGTGGGGACAAAGTCTTAAGCTTAAGTACTTTGGGTATCTGTTCAGTCATGATGAAATATGATGTACGATAATGAACGAGGGAAAAAATATATACACAAAAAGCACGGGAAAAATATCACAATGTATAAAAAATTAAGATAGGGCAATGATATACAGAATCCCAAAAAGGAACAGACTCACAGTTTACGATTTGTTGTACCAGACCACGTTATTTACCGCCACAACACACTAAAAAGCTCAGGCGGAGTTTCAACTGTAGCGCAACAGTGAGTTCTGAAGGCTTTTATTTGCGGTTTTGTGTAGTAAGTGTACAAAATCTAGATATCATTGCAAACTTCAAATGCATAACTCCCTATACATTCAGCAACTAAATTACTCCTTTTTAGTAACGGTCATAGTGACTTGATGTGAGTCATACAGCTTCTGTTAGGATCCTTTTCTAATATATATTAGAAGCATATAAATATATATTTAGAAGCATATACTTCTAAAAGTATCTGGTCTCCTCGTGAATGATTTAATTGAAGGGGCGGACGCTATTTCTCCAAGTAACAGGTTCTGAGAGTTGGTGACTGTATGAAAACCTGCATACTTTGGATATTTTGTTTGTTTGTCGATTTTGTACTCTCCGGCTACGTCCTCCGAGCTGTCCACATATAGTTCACTGTGATTCCCAGATTTTTATATTCCATTAGTCTTCAGTAATAAGGATAAGAGGTCTATCGACCTATATTAATCCTTGCAGTTTGTAATACTGTGGAGGTCCAATCTCGTTTTGAATATATCAACGGAAGGTGCTGATATTACGTGTTCCAGTGGATAATTCCAGTGATTGACTACTCGTTGCGAGAAACGAAATTCCAGACGTAGATGATTTGATCTCGGTTTTTGAACTTCCTTCGAATGTCCTCTCAAATGATCGGTTCTAGACGGAAGCAAAAGATAAGACATGTTAATACCAAGGTCATCGTTCAGTATACGATAGGCCAATATTAGATCACCCCGTACTCTACGGTAAGATAACGGAAATAAGTTGAGGTGTCTCAGTCTGTCTTGATAAGATAGGTCAGATAGACCTTGTACCATCTTAGTATCTCGTCGTTGGACTATTTCCAACATCTCTGCTTCATACTTGAAACAAGGACTCGCTGCATGAATCCCATATTCTAAATGTGGTCGCTCACAAATCGGGTATAATAATCTAAACATTTCATCATCTAAATACTGGAAAGACCTACGAATAGACCATAATACCCCATAGCCTTTCTCACCAGCAGCCTTACAGTGACTAGTGGTTTTGAGATCATTGCTTAATATGACTCCTAAGTCCTTATAGTTTCTTACTTTGGGTAGCACGAATCCACCTATTATGTAGTGATACAATTCATCATAGTTATTTATTTGCATCACTACACTCTTATTAGGATTTACTTCTAGTGACCACCTATCCAACCATGCCACCAATGAGCTAAGATCATTCTGTAATACTATCCTATCCGACATACTGTGTATGGGTCTCCAAATCTTTATGTCATCAGCGAAGAGTAGGACGGATGATTTCGCTATAGTTGGTAATTCATTTACATAAAGTAAAAGGAGAAAAGGACCTAGAATTGTACCTTGGAGAATCCCACTTTTTACAGGTATCCACGAGGAGAGAGCCCCATTTACCCTTACCCTTTGTCTTCTGTCATGTAGAAAGTTACTTATCCAATCTACGACTGTACAATGGATTCCAGAACGTTGCAGTTTGGATTTAAGACCAGAATGGGAGACCTTATCGAAGGCCTTACTCAGATTTATGAAGATCACATCTACAGGAATATTCTGATCTTTTGCAGCAGCCCGATCTTCTCTTGCAATGAGATTTGTCAAGCATGATAGGCCTCTCCGAAAACCATGTTGTTCCCTGGAGAAAAGATTATGCCCTTCAACATAGTTTATAACAGATATCCGGATGATTTTTTTCCATCAGTTTTACAACTGCACTGGTTAAGCTAACGGGCCTATAGTTACTAACTAAATCCCTACTCCCAGCCTTATACACCGAACTTATTACAGCGTCTTTCCAGTCTCTGGGCCGTCTGGAATGCCTTAGAGACATGCCAAACAGGATCGTTAATGGTTCAGCAATTACATCTGATATAGCTTTCATAATCCTAGGATGAATATCATCAGGACCACTGGACTTATCAGGTTTGAGATGCTGAAGTAGCCTTAAACAGTACCTTTCTCAATGACTACAGAGTCCATCAGCGAGCCGCCACGATCACAATGAATCGTTGGTCGTTCCTCATTACCGATAGAAAGCACTTTACTGAAATATCCCGATAAAGCTTCAGCTTTTTCGGCATCATTTTCTGCCAAGACTAACGGATTTTCTTATACCAAAAGTGATGGAATTCCGTCGCTTCTCTGAGTTCGCCTTTTTAAATACGAGAATAACCGTTTCGGACTATATATAGAATCCCTAACCAATTGTTTTTCATATGATCGTCTAGTCTTACTTAATAACGCTTTACAGGTATTCCTAATCTTACAATAACTGGATCTGTATTGTTCTAAGCCAGTAGAGATGAACATATTCCAGTGCTTTTTCTAAGAAGTTTCCCGACTGTTTTAATTATCCATGGTGGACTGTTATTCGGTCTTCGCGGTACCAAGTATGATATGAACAAGGGCGTAACTAAACTAAACGTACCTTTAAATACAGACCATGCTTCTTCAACTGATAAGCTAGTATCTACAAGCCAATCTGTCTTAGCAGCGCATTCCTGAATGGCTGATATGTTAGCTTTCCATAAATTTGGGCGGGGTGTAACCTGATCGCATAACATGTCCCTAGTTCTAAACATGAATGACAAAACAGCGTGATCGCTGTTCACTAATGGCGGAAGAATATTTAGGTCGACAATATCCTCAATATCATGAGTGATTACCAAGTCCAACGGAGAAAAACCTTGGTTAGCACCAAAATGTGTGGGTTTGGATACATGCTGCACTAGTGCACGCTCCATTATTGTTATCAGGAACCTACTATCAAAGGAGTTTATAGATCCTTCCGTGGTCATCTCAGTCCAACTAATATCAGGTGCATTAAAGTCTCCTATTATCAAACATCTGGTATTTGCACTACAAAGATGAATGTGCTCTAAAATAAAGTCATCAGCTAAGCAGATCGGGCTGCGATAGATGACGAGCATAAATGTACTACATCCGATAGCCAATTTACAGCTAATGATCTCACAAGTACCGCTATCATGGGATTCTCTAGCACAGGAGTGGATATTTATATTATTGCCTATATATAACAGGACGCCACCTCCTTTTCTACATCTATGTTTATCACTCCTGAGATAATGGTATCCGAATAATTCTGGTGTAATGTCTAAGTCATGGACTAACCAAGTTTCTGTCACTGCTACGATGAGTGGCTTTAATCTGTTCACCAATGCTTCTACTTCATAGAACTTATTTCTTAGACTACGAGCGTTGGCATATAAAACTCCTAGGTAGAACGGCCTATCCACACAGGCCTTGGAAGCATTCGCTCCCAAGACCTGAGTATTTGAAAACCCACTAGCCGGAGATTTTCCTCACCGTTTTGCCGACGGATTTCTAGTTCAGCTAATGCTTTCTTCCTTTTTATTCTATCTTCGAAAGACATATCAGGTCTAACCCGTATATCGGAATTGTCGTGACAACGAGCGCCACTTAACAGGAGATCCCGTTGCTTCTCCGATTCTAAGATAGCCTTAAGGAGTCTACATGGTCGGTGTTCAACATTTTCCTCAGTCCTCTTGCCTATTCTAACCAGTTTTTTTTTACCTGAACTCGTTTAGAGTCATCTGGTAAGATACTGCGAATATATTCTCCCAGATTGCTTTATGTAACACAACTCCACGTACTGTGTAATGATATGAATCGTCACAGCTATTTATTCGCATCACCAAACTCTTGTTGGAGTTAACTTCTAGTGATCATATATTCATCCACTCAATCATTGAATCTAAGTCATCCCGTAATATCATTCTGTCTGTGTATGGACCTCCAAATCTTTATTTTATCCTCAAAGAATAGAACGAATGACTTTGATACAATTGAAAGTCATCTACATAAAGTAAAGAAGAAAAGGAAGGAGGATTTTTCATCGGGGAACTCCGCTTTTTGCAGATTCCCACACTGATACAGCCCCATTTACCCGTGTCCGTTGTCTCCTATTACTGCGAAAGCCACTTATCCAGTTTTTAACCTTATAATGGATTCCAGAACATTCTAGTTTTAATTTAAGACCCGAATGGGAAGCCTTGTCAAAGACTTTACTTGGATCTATGAAAATTACATCTACAGGGATATTGCTATCTTTCGCTGCAGCCCAATCTTCTCTTGCAATGAGCAGATTTGTCAAACATGATAAGTATTCCCTAAAACCATGTTGTTCCCTGAACAAAATATTATTCCCCTCCACACTGTGTATACTGTTGTGAACAAATCAGTATCCGGCGCAATAAATTTCGGTCTTAAAACCTATTAACTGCGACTGCGTGGTCGTGGGGTGTTGTCGCAAGACCAAGGCTCATTGTTACTGCAAAATCATTGTGTGACCGACCCTCGGGTCTTGACTCTTTCCCTATACTGTACCTATTTACCTTGTATCGTCAAAGGGCATGGAGACACCCCTTTTACGTTGATGGTCATTAACTATTTTCTAATCCAGCTAACCTGAACATCTAAGTTCGCCTAAATTGCACATGCATCCGCATCTGTTATTTCTCGAAAATGTTTTACATCAGTGGAAAGGAGTATTGATGATACTTGTGCAACTTGCACAGTATCCATATATGCATACCACATACACTAAGTATGACTTTACCAACCTTAAAGGAAAGAGATACAATACCAACATAAGTCTGAAACCGTAATTATGGACCCACATCTATTCCCTTTTTCCTGTTGTTTTTTCTCGCTCAGACTACTTCCTCCTATTTTAAAACCAACCACTCAAAAATGTTGTTCCCGTCCTAGATTACTTGCTCTTCATGTTGCTTTTGGTTTTTTCTGTAGTATGTTGTTACGAAAGTTATGTAAAAACTCACCTAAATCAACAATTTAAGTCCAATTAGATAGGATCGTGACCTGATATACAGAAAAACGACGAAAAATCCCGTGGCCAATTGACTAGGTGCGAAACAATTCACTTAGGTAGTTTCATAAAACTGCGTAGTTGATTTTCAAGAACATTGCAAAAATCTTAAGTACTTTCAAACTTGTTATTTTAATGTCTCTTGATGCGAAAAAGCTTTACTTAGTCTTACAGTTTAATAACAGTAACACAACCAAAATTACCTTCTTGACTCATAAGTTATCCTCACAGATCTAAGAAAGAAATCAAAAATCATGATAAACTTCGATCTAAAACCCGTTAAGGTTTCGATATTCCTGATACATTACGTTGTTTTTTGTTATTCATGGCAAACATTTGTTTTCTTAATCACAACTTCAAGCAGTCCATTCTTTTCTGAGAGTTTTTAGAAAATCACAGATGCTGAAGTTTGGATTAAATCGATTAAACTATGCCGTATCTTCTGGCCTTGTCAAAAGTCAAAAAAGAAGCACATACACAAGGCTTCCTTAAAATGGTCTACTTCACATATTACATGCATGTCAATATACTATTTCTCCCTTATCTTATACCTAGATAGAGAAGATCAAGTTCCGAGAAATACAGATATTCTAGTTATCGGTGGAGGTATCATAGGTTGGGCAACAGCTTTTTGGCTCCGACGTGATTCAAAGTTTTCTGTCACTGTTGTTGAGAAGGATCCTACATATAGTCAGTCAGCCACAGTTCTTGGACTAGGATCTATACGACAACAATTTTCAGAACCAGAAAATATACAAATGTCATTGTTTTCAATCGAGTTTTTGAGAAATGTATCAAATTATCTATGGGTGGAAGGTTTGAAACGAGTAATATATTAAATTGTTTAGTTAAGATCCAACAGAAAGCATAGATATTGGTTTCAATCCTCAAGGTTGTTTAATGTTAGCAAATGCTGAGAATGTGGATTTGTTAAAAGAGAATTATTTATTACAGATGTACACTTTTATTGTTATTTGTCTCCTTACTAATTACTATTTGTTATAGTGATCTAGGAGCAAAAGTTGAACTGCTAACTAAAGACGATCTGTCTACGCGTTGGCCATGGATGAATGTTGACGACATTGAAATGGGTTGCTACGGTTAGTGTATATTGGAATATATCTGTAATATTTCATTTAGGATTTGATCCCAAATATGTTTGATAACTGCAATAGTTGAACAATAGCAGTTAAGTAGTTAAATCACTTGACTTTCAACTACTGAGTTAAAGGTTTAAACTCCACTTTACCTGTTTACTTCTCAAGTAGCCAGGCAATATGTATCACTGGCTCACACGCATTATGACCCGAGGTCGAGCAGTCAGTCAGTCAGCTACAACGTAGGACCAGGCACATATCTGCATCGGTCCAAGTTGTCATACCTCATTAGCGCAACAAGATAAACACCGAATTCATAGAAGTAGTTAATTCGGTGGTGGTAATATGTAAACGAAAGATTGCATATAAGGACATAGCACAAGAAGAAAAAATTAGTTGGTAGAAAGATATAAAGTGGTTTTAATGTCATAGTTTAAGAGAAGACAGAGAGTGTATACACTACACCATTGCGATCAATTGTGAGCTATGTCACCAAGTCTCCAGCCATTGGTTACGATAGTCGCGCGGACCCCAACCAAGTAGTCTGCATCTACCAACACGGCACAAACTAGAAGTTAGTGATCTCAAGCACTGACTCCACGTTTTGGTTTGGCCGCCCCTAACTTTCTTCTAACCATCTCCAACACTAGTCAGCATGCACGTCGTGGTAATCGGTGGTTTGCCATGCGTAATACGCAACCCAACCATCTCAGTCTATGAAGATTCACAATCTCATCAACTGATTTATCATCATTCCCTAATGCCCTGCGTCTAACCTCACTATTACTGATCCAGTGATCCCAGCAGATGCAAACAATATTTCTAAGGCATCTGTGATCGAATACTAGTAACTCACGAGTATCTTCTACTCTTAATGGATACGTTTCGCAGCCGTTAAGTAGAACAGAACGAACTGCCGCGCAGTATACTCGTCCCTTAATTGATAGACGAATATCTCACCTTCGCCATAGGTGACGTAAGTTGGCAAAAGCCAAACGGGCTTTTTGAATCCGTGCTGAGATTTCTGAAACAGTTTTGTTTCATAAACCAACTTAGCAGCCCAACACCCGATGCCTCGCTTGAAGGTTGTGAGAATCTTTAGTAATACTAAAGGGAGCTTGACGTCCCATGGCTGTTAAAGAGGCTTTTAGTTGTCGGTGAAACCTCTATCATTCCGTCTGTGGCAGGGTGACAAGCTATGGTTCATATTCACTTGGTGCTCAACGACTACTGGGCGATGAGACAGACGACTTTCGAATTGTGAACCCCTATTTGTGGTAGTTGTTTTTAGAACTCCAAAATTGCCAACCGAGTCCTTCACAAATTTCTTTACCACTACCTCTTCTGTAGTGTCTTTTAATGGATTGGCTATTGGCTGCCTAGTGAATTAATCAATACATGTTAGTATGTAAAATTATTAGGTGGCAAGGGTTCAACAGTAACAAGTTGTACATTCTCGAACCTGACGTCAGCTACACGAATCTTCACCATCGGTGACATTGTATGTAGTTGAACTTTTTTATTTCCAACACTAAACACACGGAGACATCTGAGCCAAAAATGATATAATGGGAATTTATGCACAAGACGACTTCTCAATATATTTGTTATATGCCATTTCAACTTTGACTGTGTATTGTCACCTAGCTGTACTCTAGCTAAAGGCTGCTCGATTATCTGCTGATCGGTCAAAGATGTGAAATGAATGATTTCTCTTTTTAGGTTATATCTAGATTCATATCAAAAATCATCTTCCTCATTAAGTTTGTTTAATTATCTTCGTATTTTCAAACAAACAACATATCTACTTTCTTTTCTAGGTTATGAAAATGAAGGATGGTTTGATCCTTTTCTTTTGCTGAAGGCATTAAAAATAAAATGTCATTTCATGGGAGTAAACTATGTTGTTGGAGAAGTGACTGACTTCCATGCTAGTCCATTCATTATGGTATCTTCTTCTGGTGGGGAGTCACAGAGACCTCCAGTATCATGTAAACCTTTACGTTCTGCTACAGTAAGCCTTAATAAAATCATCTAATTCTGTTCGTTTTAATCTTGCACAGGTACAATTATCCAACAGGTTACCTTGGTTTTTAAATAATATACCTCTGTCCATTATGTTCCAGCTAAAATACCAGCGTTTTCCATATTCATAAATACAGCATACAAAGAGTAATTTCAACCAAACTGGAGCAGTGTTTTAGTGATTTAATCATTTGAATCTCAACCTTTGAGCTACATGTTCTAATCCTACTCCAACCACTTTAGCCCCAGCAGTTGGGTCATGTCACGAACCCTCAATCTGAGAATATAATCTCAGAACGAAGTGCATTAACGTACACGTTTGTACTGGGTTACAGTTCTGATGTTCAGCTTAATTAAATACAATAGCAGTAATTTCTACTTGGCTTTTTAAAGGAATAAGTAATCTTGGTAGATCATACATTATATCGCTCTATTGAATTTGCGTAATAAGTTTTTATTGATACAATGGGCAATAAATAAACCTGATATTGTGGTCCAAAATTCATAGGCTGGTGACTGACCTACAGAACTCATACCCAGCATTCAGTTATGTTTTAAATAACTTTTAATCATGTTTACTTCTCTTATTCAGTATCTTGTATATAAATGTGTCATCAGTCAGTCAGTCAGTAACAACGTAGAACTTCGTACGTACGTACATCAGTTCGAGTTGCCACACCACATTAGCACAGAGATGCAGTGGTCGATTCAAATCCCGTAGTGGTAGAGGTAATAAGAGTATAAGCAGTAATCGGGAAGATTAGTGTTTGGAGATGTTATTTAAAGAGTATAATATAGTGAAATAAATTTGAGAGGAGAAAAAAAAGAGACAAGGAAGAATAAGGAGATCAAAATTTGGGAGAACACAAAGAGTGTATGCACCTGCGCCATTGCAAACGATTTTGAGCCATTTCATTCAGGGTCTCTAACCATCGGTTGCTATCATCTCGCGGTCCCCAACCAGATAGTCTACACCTACCAACATGACTCAGAACACTTGTCAGTGACTTCATGGACTTGTGCCATGTTTTGGTCTGGCCGCCCTAGCTTTCTTCCAACCTACTCCTATACCACTGAACATCGCACGTCGAGGCAGTCGGTTGTTGGGCATACGTAACACGTGTCCCAGCCATCTCAACTGATGAAGTTTCACTACGTCATCATCGTTTAGTCTACTTCTTTGAGAGGTTTTGCGTTAGTACTACGGTTTTTGTAAGTAAGCATCACTTAACTACATATTAGTAATAATGGAAATATTTTTATTTAAGAAAATTTTTACAGATTTCATGCTATTTCGAAGGTACAGTCGTGATGATATATTCTTTACAGGAATGTATTTAAGCCATTGAAATATTTGCAATTGATCGATTCAAAAGAATCAAATGTACATTTACATAAAATATTCTTTTTCTACCTTAGAAAATATGCATTTTCACCATTAATCCACGTATCTTTATTTGTTTGATTCCAACCTGTTCAGATTTCCCTTCCCAACCAAATGAATATTTCTATTAGTTTTAATTCAGTAGTAAATGCAGCAGGTCCATGGGCAGCAGATGTGGCTGAATTGGCTGAAATTGGCAGCGAAAATCTTCCTTTAGGGTTACCAGTTGAGCCAAGGTGATTTGTAAATAGTTTACTTCCTTTTTAAATTCATCGTTTTTTTATATATATCATTTTCCTGTCCTCCTCACTTCTACATAAGTTATCATGGAATTTATTTTCAAAGTAAGCATTCGAAAATTCTACGAAATCTTCTGGTTACAAATCTTATTCATCTTAACATTTAGTACAAAAAATTGCTTTGAATGTAGGAGAGATTCAAAATTATTTTTATCTTTAACCCGATAACAATAGTTGTTTTTTTCCTATTTCTTGAGCACACAAATGTCATTTTATACCATAGAAATTAGCCTTCTACGTGAAGTTTCCTTACAGACTTCAAGCACACAACTAACATCGCCCCGTTTAATGAATACTCTGAATAAATACAAATTGACGAATCAAGGGTTTTCAGATCTATTTACTCCCTCTAAATGCAAAATCTTCCCACAGGACTGATATAAGTCAATAGCTTAGCTGACCATAGAGACTAAAGTAGTTGGGCTCGTTTATCAATTCACTTACATTACGAGTCTCACCAACCCAACTGGGTCTTTAGCTAACTAAATCCCAGAACGAGTACATTAACCTGGCTTGGTTTTTGTCACTTCCATCATCTGAAGTTTTTAGTGGCCCGGTATCTGACTCCAGTTAGATCGTTTCTGATTGTTATCGAAATACACATGTCACCAATCCTTGTGTATAATCATCAACTTTAATCGCGTTGGCGAATAACGGAACCCAATAAGTTAAACACCAGAACGATTTTTGAGTACGTATATTCTGTACGATCGTTGATTGGAAAACAAAGCAAAGAATAATGACGCATGATGGAGAAGGCGAGTGAGCCAACTCGATTTAACCAAGCGTGAATCGATATTCACAGTCAAACAAAAATAAGTTACAGACATGTGACGGATATGATAAAAAATGCTCATGCATACGATCATATAAAGAACAGTCAGGATTAATAAGCTAATAATTAACAAGGCCAAGTTTTGACTCAAGAATGATGGATAAATCGGCCTGTCCGAAAGCTAGAATAAACTATGTGGACTGGCATAGCAACCGACACTACAAATTCACGAAAGATATCTATCTTCTTTTCAAAACGTCATTATACTCCACAATAGTTTTCACCTTATTACTTTACAAATGTGAAACACTGTGTTTTACTGTGAGTATTGCTAAGGTTATGCATAGGATACTAGATAGAGATGATAAATCAATCTATAAAGCTGAGTTTTAATCGACTGAGTGTAAAAAATGTATTGTCTACTTTTTTCACTGTCTATTCTAACGTTCTATGCTGGGTGGCAAAGGTTTAAATTGAAATTTGCTCTAGATTAGATCCGTGTAGTAGTCATGAAAGATAGTATTGCTTGGAATCTCTTGTAGTAACCCATATATATTTATTCTCTTTATTCCTCTGAACCTTCGGTTTTAGTGTTACACAATCTTTTCAAACTATATTTTCTGCAAGTTTCACTATCGATATTATTGTTTTAACTTTTTACTTATAATCTTATTAATCAATTCCCTATCTCATACTGATGTAAACTATAATAGTTCGAATTGATGCACATTTGTGTCAAATCTTTTATTTTTTTAAATAGTTTTTCCTAAAAATATCAAAATTTTCAAGTCTATCAGAATTACTTCCATCTCATTAATCATTATTGAAATTTCTCCAAATAATAGCGATGTTAGACTAAAAGTTTATGCTCAAATTTTATAAAATTTTTAAATGTCACTTTAATGATAGTTCGTCAAGACCTATAGGTTAAGGTTTAGACAATGATATCATTGTTCACATTAATGAACTATTCATATTCTATTTTCATTGTTGTACTCATAAGTTGTTTGTTCCCTTCTCTTCATTATCTCTTGATCTAGATATCGTCAAATTTTCGTTGTGCGACCTAAAAATACACTTAGTCATGTAGAAAGTCATTATCCATTACCTGGTTTAGATATGCCATTTATGATAGATCATAATCGTTTATTTATTGAACGTCGTGATCTTTCCGGGGAATTTATTGTTTATTCTGATAATCCTAAATTTGATTCTCTTAATAATAATTGTAATAAACAAGTAAGTTATTTATTTTTTAAGACTATATATAGGTATCTTTATTACCTGCTTTCTATTTCGACAAATTTGACTTTCCCAATTACATCTAGATAGCTAGATTGGACAACGTGTCTGTAGAAGAAAGACATCACAAACAATAAGTGTTAAGTATTTGTAGGTAATCAGCATAAATCACTGGACATATGTTTCGTACTATCCGTTACTCTTCAGGAAAAACTGTTTGCACTCTTAAGGGAATCAATGCTATTTACGGAACTTGAGTTAGCTCTAACCTGTATCACAGTCATAGACTTTGCTACTGGGCTGTTTAGGTCACGACTGGCTGAGCATTAATCTCCACAAAATTTCAGATACAACTTGCTGACGAATACCAACTATTATGAAATCTATATCCAGAGTTTCCCGTTGATTTTCACTATCCACCTAACTTCAAAACATAGTACATGGGATTCTGAATGACACAATCTACTATAGCCACATTTTAACTTGATCTATAGAGTTCGGTCAGCATTAATGAACTAGACAAACATGACATCGGTCATTACACAGTTATCAGTCAGTGTAAGTTGCAACGTTCCATACTGCTCATACTAAAATATCCCGTTGAAGTGCAGGAGATTAGTGTAAAAATATCACATAATTTTTCAGTAATTTAAATTATTAGATTCTGTGGTTATATTTTATGTTTTTCAATTAGTCATTTAACAGACTATGGCAAAAAATTACTGACCCGATAAATTATTGTGAAAGGTTGGCTTATACTGGCACTATGATCAGTTTGCACTAATTAAGCCAGTATTGAGCTGTTCACTGTCTTCACTACACCTTTGCTAAATCAAGTGACTACTTCATAATATCACTTAAGAAAAATGAAAGCTTAAGAATAGGCAATTATGAAATCGTAGTTCTAGGAAATCATAAATAATATTAAGTTGTCATTCATCTAACAGCAATTCGTTTCCACATCATACTGTTTTTATTCAGAATTGGTCCCACGAGATCTATTTACTATTGAATAAACATTTATCCGTTTAGTTGTTTTTTTTTACCGCCGCTCAAATTCCATTTAACTTGAATTTACTTCAGTAATGATTATTAAATGATTGCTATTTATATTCGAAAAAAAAACGGGGACGCATTAACGAATACTTTTCACAATGAAACAATTTATCTTTATTATAAAAGCTTTAAAATGAAGAATTTCACTGACTGACTTATCTATTGGTTTACATAATCTAACTTCGAAGATAAACAACAGTAATGAATAGATTGGAACTCTTTTTTTCTTCTTGGCTTTCAATGAATAAATTGAAACTCTTGAAGAAAATACCTGAATAAGGAATATTCTTCTCTTCATGTTCACATCAAGTTCTACATTTATAAATGCAAGTGTAGGTTTCAAAAGACTAGTCAAGTTTAAGACAAATAATCCAGCATAGAAATATAAAACATTTTAAAATAGAATTGTTCATATTGAAATGATTAGTACCTAATGTTAACTGGAATAGGTTTATACATTAAATGAAATTACAAGGTTGATTAATCCAGAGTGAAAGAAACTATTGTGTAATTGCAAATCAAATCAAATTGTTTGGTCAAAGAATACTTAGTGTCTACAATAATATGGGATAATAAAACGGGATAATAGGTAATCAAATTCTTGGTGTTTTCACAAGATTGATGGTAATAGTAATTGTGATAATTATTACAATAATATATAGCATATAACAATAACAAAAGTTACCTAAGATCATTGTAAATTACGGAAATATAAAGGAGAAAAGAATTATGTAGATCAGTCAAAGTAGATCATCCCATAATTAAGATGACTATTGACTTATCGGAGGTAGGATAAGTGGTTGAAGATATTTCTTTTGCACAAATCTCCGGTTTCTTGATCCAGATGGCTACTACATCCGTCATTTGAAGGACTTTGAGTTTGACAGGCTTTTGAAAAAAATTACTGATTGGATAAATAATTGAAAAAGATTGGCTTATACTGGCACTATGACCAGCTTGCGCTAAATGAGCCAAAATCGAACTGTTCACTACTAGACCTTCGCTTAGTCACGCTGAGAGGTGGTCGCGAGCACGAAGGTGTAAATTCCTAGGAATTTGACCAATATCATTTACTCCACAAGAGCAGTGGAACTGATAAATACAAAACGGGATGGTTATTCTAGGTCGTTCATCTTTTAGCCTTGGTGCGTAGAAAACACTAGTCTTAGTTCGCTGATTTTGAATGATATTCGGACTGCTCTGCGTAATCTCTGGATTAATATTTCGCCAGCTGCATCTTATTAGACTTTATTGTATTGTTTGAATCGTCAGTTAATTTTCATTTCAATTCCTACCATTTTCTATTCATTTATTTTAATATCAGAATTCGGTGAACCATGAATTTTTCCATGAACATATTCAACCGTTATTGTGTAAACGTATACCAGGATTTAAAGATGCTGAAGTAATTAACTTGATGATTTAAATATAATAATTTGATTTATTTTTCTTGAAAAATAATACTGATAAATAGATTATATCACTTGATGTCGGATGTGTAATTTGTCTAAATTTGTTGACTTAGCTTAGATTACACAATAACTCTGTGTGTTTTCTTAGTGAAATTTATCAATTAGATATTTATAGTATAGTATGGTATATTTATATATTAATCATTGGAATTTGGAAATGTTGATCATTAGATTCTGATTCAGCATTTTGAAGTACCCAAAAAACATACAAGAAAGTATTATTAAATTTGTGGATCTTTGTCTTATTAAAATGCTTTAAACGATAAAAACTTAACTGTTCTTCAGATTTTAAGATGGACAAAAGTTATTCACAGGATTTCAGTCTTACGTCGGCTTGAATGTGAAATTTCTCCTGACACTAATTAGTGAACATCAACTCCGGAATAAAACACCCTTGTCCATTTCCGGATCAGAAACAGCATCTCCAACAATTGATATATATATATATATATATATATATATATATATATATATATATATATATATATATATATATATATATATATATATATATGCATAATATTTTCATAAATACTGATTAATATAATCTCAAAACATAGTATCCGTATACTCATATCATTTCATTCAATGTGTAAATAGGTAACTTCAGGTTGGATATCTATATGTGATTATAATACATGGGATCAAAATTTAATTATTGGTTCCCATCCATTACATACTAACATGTATTTTTGCAATGGTTCAAGTGGTCATGGTACACAGCATGCTATAGCAATTGGAAAATCAATTTCTGAATTGATTGCCTTTCAACAATATAAAACATTCAATCTAGTACGTTTCTCATTTGATCGTTTATTTTCTAATCAAACTGTGAATGAAGTGAATTGTTTTTAAAAGTTTTCTTGTAGTTGTTCATTCATCACCTTATTGAATTATTCAATTAAAAAAAATTTGTAAATAAATATATAATTTGTTTGTTTTTTCTTTTTGTTACGATCGTCCTGTTCTTCTATAAACTGATATTGGCATATTTATTATGCATTGTTAATTTAGTTAATTAATATAATTCAGAAGTAAGCAAGTTCATTCTCATATACTTGACTTTAAGCTATAATTGTTGTTGGTCTGCAGAGATTAGCGACTAATTATACTATCTTTTTATCAAGACTGAAATATATGGAATGAGTTTTGAAGCTACTACTTGACTGTTTCAACCATTAGGCTCTACTATTATACATAGTATAACAATTGCACATTTTTGAACAAATTATCATTATGTAATCTACGTATTAATAAGCTATCCAAGTCTAAACATATTACATGTTATTTCAAAGCCAAACGGTGGGGTGAAAGATGATAACAAGGGATACTATTGGATGGAACCGATTGTACAGTTAGTTCAAGTCTTACCCTAAATATTTCTCTTTCCTGGTCAAAGGGATTGATATATCTGCCAATGATTTGTGGACACTATTCGGTCTGCCAACTACAGTAACCCAGTCATTTTTAGTCTTCCCATGTAGTAGGTTAGACAAGCGTTTAATGAGGCTTATGTATCTGTATCTCTAAGTCACTGATCTTAATCGATTTGTTGTATCTCAAATGAACTATCTGAGAAGTTGGTTCTAATTCTGATGTGATTGTGACTAGAGTGGTTTGTCTTTCGAGTTGAATTGTCACGGAATAGTTCTTTTCGAATTAGCTACTCAAAATTTTACATAATAGTCGCAATTTCAAAGTAAAAGTAGTGGAAAAAATTTGACGACAGTTTTCTGATAGCAGTTTATTCAGGAAAATAGTTCCTGGTGCTTTCTTTTCTTTGTTTTATATGGTTATACTACAGAAAAAATCACAATATTATTACACTTGACTAATATCATATTGGTCGTACAAATATTAGTTGAGTAATAACTATAATTTATCCTACCTTCACTGTTATCGCAAACCCATTTCTTAATTCAATCTCATTCTTATTAAATAAGATAAATCATATTTGATAGTGGTAGGAATAATGCAATGAAAATTACAAGTTATCTAATTTATCGGAAGCAGAGTGGACTACTTAACATCGATTATTTGTCAGAAAGAAAACTTTTTTAAGTATACCAAATTTTTCGAAATGAGATAACTTCGACGGTTCTCCAACAGTTTAGTATCTGTTCAAGTTCATTTATTCAGAATGAATTTCAGCTCTTCAAAGGCTAATCGATTTGACTGATATGCTTTGATTTTATTTTTAGACTACTAATTAGTAGATTATTTTCTTCTTAATGGTTAATCAGTTTCAGTTGTGCTACAAATGTGCATTTGCTGAGTTTTCCAAAAAGTATTTTAAAAATTAAACTTAATCTTTTATATTCTTAGGATCAGAAATGATAAAACTGTTAGCATATAGAGTTTAATATTACAGTACATTTCAAAATCCTATGTGTCTATACTAACTTTATAATTACCATTAAGAAATGGAATCGTGACAAGTTAACACTGTGACATAAGCTTTCTGTCCTCCTCCAAAAATATTATAAACAGATTCGATTGTATCCATTCAGTGTGATATTTTCAACAAAGATTCAAGGTAACATGCTGAAATTCTCTTAACCATGTTACTCCTTATGAGTACTAGAGTGAGATAAAGAACAACACTGATAATACATCAGTTGGTTTCTCAACGAATAGAAATGTTTGATATTTCAACTAGTGTATACGTGTTCTGTATTCTTAGTTATCTAGATTAATAATCGTAGAGAATTCGTCTATTAAATACTCTAATACTATTGTGATTAATCAAAACACTAGTTGGTACCATCTGCTTTTTTTGAAGAATCCAACTTTATAATAATTATCCCAGCATATTGTGGCCAGTTTGAGATTTCTCTTCGACTTTTTATTTGTTGGAAATAAATAGACTACCATATGCCTATTATTAATTTCAAATTTGAACTATATGTGGAAAGTTCCCGTATTACTGGATGGTATGATCACTCCGAACTTATTCGTGATAACTGATTAAATCAGCATGTGCTAAATAGCTGGACAGAATAATACTCAAAACCTTGACATTAAATCACACTTGTCACCTAACCACTTCGTAAAGTTAAACCTATTTCCATCAAACAACTTTCAATAGAGTAACTTTTAGGGTAGTCCCCTAATATTTATACTAACAAATGCAGTGTAACCAAACGTACTCATAAAATGTTTTGATCTTATTTAGACTATATTATACGTAGTTGTAAGGAAACACACGAAGTATTTTATTTTCTAAGGTCAGTTCATTTGGGTATCAAAGCAGTGAAGAATGGCCGTTAATGCTGGTTATCGATTATTTACAACCAGACACTTACATGGTTGCCGAAAGTTATTTTTCGCTATGTAGAAATAACGTAATATTCAGTAGGATACTTGTAGTGAACAAGAACACGGGTGGGGACAATCGATTGTATTTAGCACAAAGATTACAGACTATCTCAATAAAATGTGAATACCATAAAGTCAATCGTCAATTTGCAAAATATCATTCCATCATATCAAACTGTACTGTTCCCGTTGCAAACACTAATCCATTGTCGCCCATTCCATTGTACATGCGTTTTCTTACAATTCCATTGTGCTCTTGCTCTTCCTTTCTCGATCTTCGCCATCTTCTGCTGCCGGACATTACGTTCTTTTAACGCACGTTATATACTACTTATATCAATATAAGTAGCTCACACCACATACTGATTATATGTCATGCATGGGTTTACCGGGTATTATGTAATTATATAAACAAATGGTAGTGTATTAAAGTCAATGTTTAACATAACAATCGTAACTGTTATCAAACAAAATTACTTAATTCAAGCTTGGAGTAAACTTACCACTATTTTTAACAATAACTCTGGCCGTAGCCATTCTAGGATTACTACCGGTCCCAATCCCGGGTAAAGGAGGAGGGTCGGGCATAAGTCAGTTACCCCATCCCGTAGAAAACAACCTTGCTAAGAAACCACTAACCAGGATAAACAACTAAAACCATTTAAATTCCACCCTCAGAATCGAAGAATATTCATGCATAAGAGTTATGACGCCTCATGGTGAAAGCCGAGATTCTTCAAAAACCACGAAGCCGACGACCCTTCTAACAACCAGAGCAACGATAAATATTGGTATATGGAATGTCTGAACAATGTGGGAGACTGGGATGACCAGTTAAATAGCTGCGCAAATGAGGAGATACAACATGGTGGTTCTCGGACTCAGTGGAACCGATTGGACCCAAGCTAAACAGGAAAGGAGGGATGCTGCTTTACTCTGCTTATGAAGAAGAGACTGCTTCGAACATTCAGGGAGTTGCTCTAATTCTGTCCAAATAAGCACGTAATGCACTTATAGGATGGGAATCTCATGGACCCAGAATCAACAAAGCATCCTTTAAAACAAAGGAAGGAATCAACATGGATGTTATGCACCCACCAATGATAACAACAAAAATGATGATCAGTTGTATGAGAAGCTTCGATCGATCATAGCGAAGTGATTTCGTATGTCTTCTTAGGATAAATAGTTTATTAAGCCAACAGCTACTAACTAGGTGATATTAGAAATCCAGATACGAGGTCTTGTCAGAGAATTGGACATTAGTCGTGTATTTTATAAATGAGTTACATCATTACTTCAATCGAAAACACGACAACCTAATTACTAAACATCTATTACATTTGCCTAAACATATCATAGATATTGGTACAAATAGGCACTAAATACATATGCACCACACAAATCTCATGTGTGAGGGCTGTGATACTGCCCGGGTGCCCAAACCGAGGCAGGTGGTTTTCTTAGGGGGCCGCTCCTCGAGCCTTCGACCTGAAGGTCTGATCCACAAGGCAGTGGAGCGTCGTCAGGAGATGCAGTCCCATGGAAGCCGGTGACCAACAATTGGTTCATACGCCATTTGTTCCCGCAGGATACTGGAGCCCATGTGCACCATTGGTTTGGAATCCGGTTAAAGCGCCGGACATTCGCTTTCCGTCCTCGCATTTTCGTAAACAACCCCCGCCACAAGGAGGCAGTGAGTAGGACTTCCCTGGCAGAGGCTATATACGCGTGGCCATGTGAGAGCATTTCAAGAGGGAGAGCGGACTCTCCCCACTCTCGGCCGTACCAGAGCATTTGGAGGCCTAAACATATCATATCAGATACAAAGCATCGGTGATTCACTCTCAAATAACTTGCAACATTGAACATGTATATTTGGAAGACTGAACATTTCAATCGTATATTACTTTTATTCTACAAATCTATCAGTACCAACAAGTGAAATCAGGTTACGTTCAAAATGAATAGAACACATAAATATTGCCGGTTGTAGTAATATGAGCATAACAAGTTCATACGTGAACAAAAATCCTAAACTAAAGGCTAATTTGAAAACCTAACCGATAGCGTCTTAAACTGCCGTCAGATTATCTGAAACACTAATATCAAGCAATGAAATGTATAAAACTAAACAGTTTTTTTTAACAACGAAATAAATCACGATGTTTTTTCTTGAGTTCTTAGTTAACTGAAAGTTGGTTTAATCAATAAAATTTCGTAACTTACTAATCATAAAATGTATACAATTATCCTAGCCTAACGATCAAACTATGCTTCAACTATCGAAACCAAACGAATAGATTTAAATGAAAGTGCACTGTTTATATGTAAAATAAAACAAATGACATGAATTTACAGTCACTATGTGTCTGAGTGTCGTTTTCATTGTAAAAAAGGTATTGTCGAATACAAATTACATTTATCGAATAAGTGAATAAGAATGAAGCTATAGGATACATTTTAAATCAGTAAAAACAACTAATGATTGTGTCAAAATCTTAATACAAATTGTAAAATATACCTGAATATACTCA